GTGCGTTTCTGTTTTAAATGATGGATTGGATGTACAGGTTACAGCAAGATCTGACCCTCCCGGAAACAGGGGTTCCTGCCATGAGAGGTGTCGGCGGAGCAGCCTGTGTGATCATAACCGGAAGCCTTGCGGTCCGATTTTGTGTGTCGTGGGGTTTTCACATTCATTCTGTGAGTTTGGTTGTTTCTGTGGAACAGGTTGAGGAGGAAGGCCAGCTGCACCGTGGGCCTCCACCCTCTCCCTGTCCTCATTGGTGCTTAATTCTGGCTCCCCTCCTAGGGTGTGGCTCCATTCTGAATGGGCATCTGGATATTTATATTTGCCGAAGTTTTATAATAAATTTTATATTGTACGGAAAGCCCCTGAGTGGCATTGTGACTCTCCGTGAGCTTTGCTTCCCAGATGGAGGGCTGGCAGGAGACCCTGGCAAATGAGCCTCACGGAGGGAGGAACAGGGCTGGAGGGTGTTAGAAAGGGCTGAACTAGACCAGGAGAGATGCTTCCGTGACGCAGAGGCTGCAGGGGTGATGGTGGCCTCCGGCAATGGAGGTTTGGTGCCATGTCCAGTGGGAAAGCTGTCCTGACCCTGCGACCCCTGCTTGTCAATCAGCATTCTCCAAAGAAGCAGAACCAATAGGACATACAGAGAAAAGTGGGGTGATAGGTTAAGGAACTGGCTTGCCTAATTGTGGAGCCTGGATACCCTGAAACCATACAGAGGACTGCAATGCTGGACATTGAAAGCTGAGTGGATGTGGCCTTCCTGGGTCTGCCTCCATGAGACAGCGGGCTGCAGACTTGGGCAGGGTCCCCATGGTGCCAGCTTGGGACAGAATTTCTTCTTAGTGAGACCTCAGTGCTGGTGTGTAAGGGCTCATCTGATGAGACTGAGGCCCACCCATGGAGTGCAGGGTGATGTGCTTTCCTTAGAGTCTACTGATTTAGCCTTAATCGCATCTACAAAATACCCTGACACAGCGTCCAGTCTGGTGTCGGACTGTCACGGAGTCTGTCCAAGCTGACACATGAACTCATCCTTTGTAGTCCCCATGATTGGATGTAACCAGCCCATGGGAAGCCACTGCTGCCCTGTCGTTGAGGCGACCCTGGCCCCTCAGAATGTCAACTACTGACCAGCAGCTCCACAGGGTCGGCCCCATGCCCCTGGAGGGCCTGCCTGGTTCACAGAAAACCTGCATTCGCTCAGCCCACACCACCTGCAGCTGGGCCTGAC